CGCCGATTCTGAAAAGGGCGTCACGCTGGACCGTAAAACGTTTATTCGACCCTCTTTATTCCTTTACAATGTAGTTTGTTGCGCTCTTGAAAAAGTGAAAGAGAGAGAGGGAGAGGGAGAGGGAGAGGGAGAGGGAGAGAGAGAGGTCTCCCCATTCGAATAGGTACAAAATTCGTTTCTCTGAAGTTTCTCTCTGACGAGCACGTACAATACGTTAACGATCAAAATTCAAAAATCAACCGTCAAAGAATTGAATGGCATTGTTTTTTATTCAGAAATAAATGAAAGATCGCCATTAAACAAAAAGTAACTGTAAAAAAAAATATATGAAAAATCAATCAAATGAAAGGATATTAAATGAAAATTTACAACGTGGAATTAACTAAAAAGACTAAAAGACTTTGAGATTCGAATCTTTTAGTGAGTTATTTGAACGTAACGAGTGGCATTCGAGAGAGAGAAAAGTCTCTGACAGATTTAATGGTTTCATGGGACTGAAAGAAGGGGGGAAAAAGAAAGGAAGGAAGGAAGGAAAAGAGAAATACAGTTGGATTTTGAACATTGGAAGCTGCGACGCGAGTTCGTGAAAGTAAAGATAGGAAAGCTTCGAGAGGCAGATAACACGAAGAAATTCCACGAAGCGTGGACGGGATAAGTTATCCTCGCGTTTCGGGATACGCGTCGACATTATTTCGTATCTTGCAGGACACTTCGGCCAATGAGGATGTCCTGCCTGTTACGCTACCGGAATTCATAACGAGTTCTTATCTCTCTCACTCTCGTTCTCTGTTTCTCTCTTCCCCCACTTGGTCTCTTTCACGATTTATTCTTCTTTTCATTCCTCTATATCTTTTCCCACCCTCTGTTCCTTCCTTCCTTCCTTCCTTCCTTCCTTCCTTCGCCCTCTGCCACTTCATCTTGTCCCCACGCTCATGTTCGCACACACGGTCAGGTAATATCGCGCGATTCTTTCTTGGAATCGAGCCCGCTTCTTAGTTTTCTCTTCACGCTTGTCGCCTTCTACTTTCAAAACTTCTACCAAGATCCAGGACTTCACCATTTGTAATTTCAAACGCGCACTCTCTTGCGACGACGACGACGACGCCGACGCCGACGCCGACGACGATCTTTAAAGAATAAAAAGTATTTTTTTATCGACTTTTCTCCTTTCCTTCCTATTATTTTAAGTTGGCTCAATTAAATGAAATACAAATATTACCGATCGATGCTGAATCTTTTTCTTTTTTGTTTTTTTTCACATTTAATCAAATCAAGGATATTCCTTTGGAAAGCAAACATACATAGATACCTATATATTTGTATAAAACATTTGGAAGGATATAGTTTTGATAACGCTTAAGGCACGTCGCTCGCTAATAACAAATCTAGCAACGGTGATTACACGCTGTGATTTCGCGGAGAATTGGACGAGTGATTAATTCTCGCGGGCAATCCCGTTCTTCCCCCAAAATGTCCCTTCCTTCCACCTCTCTCTCTCTCTCTCACACATATTCTCTCATACACGTTCCCTATGCGGATTTGTCGGGTGAGCCACTCACAGCAAAGATATTTTAATTCCGAAGCGCCGGCCGGCGAAGCCGTTTGGAATGGTTATTAATTCGTGCGTCGAGAACGAAGGGTGTGGATGCTGTACGGAAAGAGGGGGGAGGCCCAAAAAAGAGAGAAAGAGATGATAGCTCCGGAGAAAGAAAAGAAGAGAGAAACAACGTTCGTAAAAACAGCCCCATTGTTATCGCTGTCCCGCGGCTCGTTTCGCAGTGGGCGGCACTCGAATGAAGAGCAAGAGAGAGAGAGAGAGAGAGAGAGAGAAATAGAAGAGAAAGAGTTTCGTGTAAACGCGTCTGCTTGCTCGACTCACATATATATAGATATATACATATATACATGAAACATGCATATGTATTATATACGTGTGTACAGATTTTACTAACGACAAAAGAGTAGAACCGAGGACGATTCTTTTACATTGATTAATGCATCTCATGAATGATAGTACACACCATGGATGATGGCCCACCCACTCACTCCATGAAACGTTTCTACCCCTCTTTCCGCATCGTCTATTCGCTCAGCCATCCGTCTTCGTCCCTCTCACCAAAGCATTTTCCATCTTCTTCTCTTTTTCTTTCTCTTTCTCTTTCTCTTTCTCTTTCTCTTTCTCTTTCTCTTTCTCTTTCTCTCTACTCGGCGGGAGCAACTCGTTTCGCGAGGACGGATTCATCTCCGATTTTATGCCTCGTTTGAAAGCTCTACCCCGCCCCCACCCCTACCATTCTTCCTTTAACTTCTCTTTTCATCCCCCAGTCGACTCTACGACGATTCCAACCCTTATCCCAATGTACCTGTGCCTACCAAATTCGAATACCACGTGTCTGAATTTCTCTCCACATAGAAAGCACTTTATTTGTTATTTAAATAAGCTCGCGCGCGAACACGCAAAGATTATTTTTCAATCTTTTTCAATCTACTCTTTCTTTTTATTTGCTAACGGTGTGTATGTAAGTGACAGATATTAAGAAGCTCGAAAGAAGTCCTCGGTTCGTTGAAATTCCAAGATATATATCTTTCTTTCTCTTTTATTACCTGAAAAATGATCTTTATGCCGAGAAAGGTCGATCCAGATAAGAAAGGAGCGTAATTATCTCTCAGCATAATTAATTTCTATGATCAACGTCCATGTTCTCTTCATTCATTTACACGTAGTTGATTAAATCTAAACGAAGAGTATCTTACGTGTTATTTAACTAGATGAATTAATAATAATACGAATTATACGCTTGTCCTACAGATACGATTTTATCCAACAATTCCTAATGGATGTAACAATTTTCCAAATGAAATGTTGTTTTTGGCTATAAAACTTGTTTTTTAAATGAAAATTTATTACAACAAGAAGACTTGAAATTATCGATAACAAAAGTCCTTGAAATAAAGTTAGCGAGAAGAGAAGAGAAGAGCAGAGAAGAGAAGAGAAGAGAAGAACGGCCAAGTCAATATTGTCCTCTCGCACTATAAGACGAGTTAAAGTACACCCTGAGAGCAGCACAGAACGCAAGAGAACTTTCTATATCTAGATGCGTAGTTCTGAACAAAGTTGACAGAATCTAAGTCGAAGTTGTACAATCCCCTTCGACGTTTCCTACATCGCAGAAATAAATACGGTCTCCGTTGGCCCCGTGGCTTCGTACCAAGAGTCATTGGATAGAATGGCGAGAAATAGAACCGACAAGAAATGACTACTATAAAACGTTGACTAGCATCTTAGCTACTACTGTCTAGGACGTTCAACTCGATCTTTATACTCGACTAAAATATCCTCAGCAAATAAAAAGAAAAAACAAACAAACCTACTACAAATATATTCAAAATAAATATTAACCCTTTCCACTACGTATGTCACAACTGCAATAACACTTTTGTTAATAAAAATCATATTTTCCAAAAGCAAAACGAATCGGTGTCATATTTCGAATCATCCTTCTTTCCTTCGATCACGTAAATCGATAACACCTTTAAAGATATTTTTCTACTAAAACCAATTTCCTTCCTTCGCGACGAAACAGATTTGCGAGAAGAAAATCTGATCCGATCTATCTACAGTAGTCCGTGCTTCACTTCTGACTAAATATATTCTCTAAGCTTTTTTCTTTTCTCTCCAACTTTTAAATAACATTGAAAACTTTGTCAATCGTATAATCTTACCTACTATCGATATTCAAAAGAATAAATCAATTGAAATACAAAAAGGAAATATGTACATAAAGGCCACCAACAATGAACTAGGTGTCGTTTCTTAATGAGGCAGTAAATCTTCGTCAAATTAATTGTGAAGGAAAAAAAGAAAAGTATAGCGAGAGGAATATGAACGCCCAGCCGCCCGCATATGTTCCTTTTTACTTTGGCTATTCAACCTAAGTATGCATGTGCATGCTTCGCATTAACGCTCTTTATGAACTAATCATTCCTAATAAGTCACTCATCGCGATATTTAAGATCTAGAGCGTTGTCTATTGAAATCTTTGATAATAAACACAAGCAGCATCCTTTCAAAACAAGTTTTATCTTTTCACATATGTATGCATTTACAAAAAAAAAAAAAAAAACAAGCGAGATTTTGACGATCACATACATATACGGTGTAGTTAATTAAGAGCAAACATTATACAATTGATATGATTTGAATCGAACGGGGAACGTTTTTGCTGCTCTTTCCGGACGTTATAAAAATAAGGAGAGTTTCGTTATATGCTTCGACTGTCGATATAACCAACAACGAGGTATCGTACTTCGACAAGACGGAAATGGTCTTTCTATTCCTTCCTTCGTATTTCCTTATCGCGTCGCAATACATTCCTACATACGTTCATTTCTGAGAATCGAATTCCGAAGGTACCGCTTTTTATTCTCGATACTCTCCCCGACCCTTTTATGTCTCGATATTTTTACTTTTACGATAGTATAGAGTTCCGGGAGAACGCAAAGAAAATCAAATCTAATGTTCCCCGGTGCTCTCGAGGTAGTCGTAAACTTTCTCAAAGCTTTCGCGATAAAAGTAAGAAAATCTGCCGATTAACTTTTTTCTTTTAAATATTATTTTTACATTGAACATTTCTTCATCAGAGATAGGTAATACACAGAGATGGTAATCGTTACAAATGTAACATGTAGAAATTAATTAAACTCAATTCGCTTACTTTTTTTTTCAAGATCATTGGTATTTTGCCAAGATAATAGAGATACCAAAGAGTACGTTATTATCTACCAACACGATGTTTAAGAATGATAAATAATTGTCATTAGCAGATTTTCTTGAAATAAAATCAACCCTCACTTGTGTTGAATTACAAATTTTATTACGTTTTTGTACAAACGTAATTTTCATTATAGCTAATATTTTGTCGGTATAAAAGAAACTCTGACAATAAGATAAAAGAGGAAAATGGGGGAAGAAACACAAGAAAAACTTGAAAAGTACTTACTTTTCCGAGTAGAACGCAGATTTCAATAAAGAAGTAGTCTTGATGTCTCTTAAACGAAGAAATAAAGCTACTCTTCTTGTTTCTTTTCAGTAGAACGGCGACGACAACGACGACGACGACGACGACGACGACGAAGAAGAAGAAGAAAGCAAGCACGATCGTCGTAAAAAAAACACGTAGCACAGTAAATATCCTTAATACGGTCACGTGACACACAGTAGAAACTAACCGGAACCACGAATCTCTAAATCTCTATTTCCTTCTATCTTTAATTTTGGTATTCTTCCTTTGTTTCAACCCTTTACACCTTCGCTGACACCCTTAGTCGTTGCACGAACAACAAAATTCTCAATAATGTCAATCGTTCATCCGTCTCTTTCGGCGAACGACGAACGACACTGCAGTACAAAGTTCTTCAACTCTTATTTTGTTGTCATACTCGTTGCTTCCATTTAATATAACTGTTCTTCTGACAATGTTGTCTTTTATAATGGGGACAAAATAATAAATATTATGAAAAACCAAGGTCTGTCGTATTGTGAAGCATTAGAAAAAGAAAAAAGGGGAAAAAAAGAAAAGTTTACATTCGCGATATGTTTTGAAATGGGGTTGAACGAAAGGAGAATGCTTTTTGAAAGATGCAAAAGAAGAAAAATGGAAAGAAAATAGAAAGAAAATAGAAGAATAGAAGGAAAGAGTAAAGTAAATTGTGGAAAGAGGGAAAAACAGATAAGAGGAGAGAAGGAGGGTGTAAAAAGAGATGGATGTATAATATACGCGGGGAAACGAGCGAGGCGACAGTCGCGTGGTATCGATTCGTGGTCGTGGAAAGCCGGTAGAGGCAGCCAAGAGAGCGAGAGAAAGAGAGAAAGCTTTTTCTTCGTTTTCCCTTCCCGTCCCTTTCCCTGCCCTTCCCCTCCCCACCCTTCCCTTCCCTTCCCTTCCCTTCCCCTCCCTTCCCTTCCCTTCTCTTCTCGGCAACGATCTTTTCTCTTCGTCTTTCTCTCTCTCTCTCTCTCTCTCTCTCTCTCTTTCTGTATCACACACGCACGCATACACACACGCACAGCATAACCCTCTTCGTCCCTCGATGCACCTTTTCTCTCTCGTCCGTTCTATCACACTCTGAATAAGAAGTTTTATTTTCTCTCTCTCTCTCTCTCTCTCCCTCTCTTCCTCCCTTGAATGAATTAAAGTCCTTTAAATAATATTATTACTAATATTATTATTATTATTATTATTATTATTATTATTATTATTATTATTATTNTTAAAGTCCTTTAAATAATATTATTACTAATATTATTATTATTATTATTATTATTATTATTATTATTATTATTATTATTATTATATCCTTCGAGAGGGATGCGAGTCGGTTGCAACGTCCCGCTAAGAAATGACAACTTTTTTCCCTTTCTTCTGCGTGTCCACGTTTATTATAATAAAGAAGAGATAATTAGGTAGGCTTATTCTAACAACACAAAGATTGTTATTTTATGCAATAAGACAATAGCAACAACGTGCGCGAGCAACACCGGTGCGTCCTTGCGTGCGTACGTGCCGGCAAGTAAAAAGCAACAGACACATCTCCTACGGACGTCCGGGTCGGACTGAGCGCTCGAACCGCGCCGAAGACGCACGGAGCTATCCGAGTTAGTGGGCCCCCACCATAAGGGTCCCTCTCGCGCCGCCGCTGCGATCTCTTCATCCCTACCCCGTCGACCACGAACACGCTTCCACCACCACCCTTCCGCCACCCTTCTGCCACCCTTTCCTTCATTTTCCCTCGAACACCAGCAACCCTACCACCAACGCAAGCATCGTCGTCGTCGTCGTCGTAGTCGTCGTCGTAGTCGTCGTCGTCTACGCCTCGACATCTACTTGGTATCTGCTTCTCTCTTGCTACCTTTCGTGCCGATCGCCTCTTCCTCACCCTCTCGCCCTCCCCAAACCACCCCCGAAACACCAGTCGGCCGAGGATTTAAGGCCCTCTCTCCTTCTCTCTTTCCCTACGCGGTGTTGCCAATTTAGCGGGAACGCCGCTCTTGACAGTGGATCAATCTTTTTGTTGATTTCGTTTTCCTGCAACACCTCTTCTACTTTTTTCACTAGTCTCTACATAAATGCAAACTTTTAAATCTATCGCGGAATATAGATCATTTTTTTCCATGGTGGTATTTTAGTACTTGATCGAAGGATCAACAATAAATTATTTTGTACAATATATTATATGGAGTAGGAGTCCGCTTACGTACGAGCGTACGAGTTCCTCGACTTCTCAATTTTAAAATCATTAAACGTTGAAATTGTCGAATGTTTTTTTGTTTTTGTTTTAACAACTTGGATGAAAACAGTGAATTGTTGAAGAATATAAATAATTCATGTAAATAATGAAACTAAAGAAAATCGATGCACTCGTTATTTTCATCGCTCTCGACGGTGTGCGTCGGGTTCTGTACAAAATACGCGCACGAATGGAACATCGAAGATATTCTAACAACGAGCTCGCGTTTCATCGTAGTAACAGGTAAACGTGTCAGGTTTTAAAAACCACGAGCGATTTGATGTATCGCAAAGCTCGTGCAAAGCTATACTTTAAATACGTGCCGATCGATTTTCAACGTTATTTGTAATTTATACAGTGCCGCGCGGATTTCCAAGTATCAGCATTTCGCTGTCGAAATCCGTTCTCACGTTTAGAGTTTTAACTTGTAATTAATTGTACGATGCATTACGTGGCATAATATATGTAATTTGTAATGCACACATTCGTAATGGGTAACACGATATCGTTCCCTGTTCAAGCGTTCGGGATGACTGTCGATTACTCGATTTATTTCGACGTAGGAGGATACTCAAACGGTTCGCGGAGGAAGGACCGAATTGTATATATCGTAACTAACTGATTTACAACGCGGAAAACGATAAATATTTAACTGCATGAAATAATGGAGCTCGAATATAACATATAAAATACGCGTATCACCATAAACATGAATTTTCCTATTGCTGTCGTTCAACAGATATTTTTTTAGATCAAATATTTCAACCTTAACGAAAGCAACGGCTTTAATATGTAATACGTCCTTACACGAAGCAAGATTCATTAATTTTCACAGGAAGATCCATCGAAAGAAAAAGAAAAAAAAGAAAAAAAAGAAAAAAAAGAAAAGAAAAGAAAAGCAAGGTGAAAAATAAACTCTCGGTGTCGTAATTCCGATTCTGGATAAGAATAAAACTGGACGAATCGAGAGGAAACGAATGAATCAATACCATACCTACTGTCGCAAGAAGCGACGTGATTTGAAAGGAGGCCTGAAGGTTCTTCGCAAAGCTCGTCTGGATCACAAAAGAAGTACGAGTCTTTCTTTAGAAGCAGAAGAAAAAGAAAAGGAAAAAATATAAGGGGAGAGAAGAGGGTGTAGTACGTCTACCGACACGAACCATTTCGAGTTATTTCATCAACGGCCGCCTTTATCGCTCGTAGAATCGGTGTATCTTCCTTGGGGCTGATCCTACCATCGATTCATGCGAAGTGGGTTAACTAGCTTGAGAGGGATGTAAAAGTGGATTAATGCGTGTCGACGTTAAAAGGAACGTCTCTCATTAGAGTAATGTGCGAATTATTAGTAAAGACTCCAAGATATAATCATTTCAGATCGAGCAAGATATCTAAAGATATTTGTATTTGCGGACAAAAAATTTATTTATATAAATAAAATCAAAATATCAAGTCTACGTGATCCGACGGCATTTTCATTATTAATTTTTCAACCGGGACAAAGTAGAATCGAATAGCATGATATACTTGGAAAATATATACGTATATATGTATAGAGAGAGAGAGAGAGAGCTTCTTTCATCTTATCTCGAAGCATCTGCCACGAATCGCTAAATTATAGTCCATTCTCGACATACCTTCTCGCAAGATACCTCTATCTAACCAATGAGAAATTCGCTTTTCCATGTTAACTTTTCTTGCTCTATCCCTTTTTTCGTAGTTCTCCTCGAGAAGAAATAACTCGTGATATTATTGGTCCAATCTTGAACGTTTTAAGAGTTATCGCGAAATGCCGATGACATGTTTCGTTATTAGGATTTTTATCTCCTTTTGATAATAAGTAAAGCAAAACGAAAGGGAGACTCGAGATGTTTCACTTATATGCGCGTAAATTATATACGACGAATGAATAAAAGAAAAAAAATAGAAAAAAAGTACTGAAAATCCGAGAAGGCGTAGATAAAGAACGAAGTATCTTTTAAATCTTTCTTTCTCTCTTTCTAATATTGTCACTGCTGTTCGTAGAGAGATTTTTTTCTTCGTCGTATTATCGAGTCGAATTTATTTTTCTCTAAAATCGATACTAATAAATGGACAGTTACATGCGCGTTAATATAATATAAAATTCATAATGAAACGTCTTTTTGTCAACGTACTACGTTAATTAATTAGAAGCTCTTTTCGTGAGTTAGATGACGTTGAAATAATCCAAGCAAAGTACATTTACATTCTCTATTAACAGGTTCCCTTAGGATCGGCTTTGTCGAAACTCTCTCTCGCTCTCTCTCTCTCTCTCTCTCTCTCTCTCTCTCTCTCTCTCTTTGGTTTTAGAGACATGACAGCAATGTCGCATATGCGTAATGTCAGATTGCCTGGACAAACGGTGCATCGTACATTTGCAACACATGCTCGCACGATCGTGTCAAATCGGAGATAATTAAACCAAAGATTATGCGGGATTGGATTATAATACTTGGTCTGGTATCTAGCGTTACTAATCAGTATCAAAGTAGTTTAAGCTCGGTCCGTTTCTAATCTTTGTGCGTATCTACATTATAAATGAAAACAAAATGTATATAGTAAGTAAAACAATGTTGATAGGATCGTAAGACTGGATAAAAATCGATTGACTAGGAAAGAGAAGGCGTTATATAGCGTTAAGGCGAATTCAAGTAGAGTCCAGTGTGTGCAGGAAGAGCGAAGGTTTTCGGTCGCGTTTGTTCCGGGTACGCCGCAACACGAGTTACGGATAATAACGGTGGGCTATCCCGGAGCCACCAAAGTCAAACCGCAAGCTCCATCGACATACGCTGCACGTACCGAGCATGCACATGCACGAGGGTACTCCTGTCGCGATTGGTATTGGTGTACGTTTCTCTCGTATATTGTGCATCTCGTTGCGACGAACGCGTATGTACAACGCGCAAGCACCCATGTCCCTATATATAAATATATACGTATATACGTACGTGTCACCTGTTTTACGTGTACGCCCGCATGTAGGTACTCTGTCTGCGTTCGTGCGTGCGTGCGTGCGTGCGTACGTGCGTGCGTGTGCTGCTTTTCTACGTATATGCATATGTATATATACCGCTAGTGTACACGAAGAATCACGAAGCGTGTTTGGTGCGCAAACGCGCGGAACACGAGCCGAAGGACATCGTGAACGAGCGCAATAAACTCGTAGCGCGTCACATAGGGACCCCGTATACACATCGAGAAGGAAACGTGTACTGTGCACGATTCCGATCGGTCGCGCGTAAACACACGTATATGCGCGCGATCGCAAACGTTTCAGCGCGTTCACTCCTAGATAGAGACGGCGATAGAAATTTATATGAAAAGAGAGACAGACGAACATGCAGACGAACATGCAGACGAACATACAGAGAGCTTACGTGGCTTCTCTATTTACCTTTACTGCATTCACACATATATAGATGCGCGTTAAATGCATTTGCGTGGTCAACTAGCATAAGACTGACTGTCCTTCCTATGTCTCTTCAACTTATCTGTCATAGTGTGTGCGTTAAAGCTTCGTTGGGATATAATTTATTTGACAGGACGAGTTTTAACTTACCTAAACGCATTATTAAAT